GCCAAGTCATTAATACATTTTGTAAACAGTTGCGGTCCCAGCACTGACCTCTGTGAAACCCCACCAGTTACAAATCACCAAACTGAGAAAGAACTCCTTATCCCCATTAGCTGTTTCCTGCCCATTTGTCAAATTTCTATCCTTGCCAAAATACTATCTCCAATACCATGGGCTCTTATCTTATGGCACAACCTTTTTGTGAGGTACCTTGTTGAACACCTTCTGGAAGTCCTTGCCATGGGTGATCCAGAGTGATCTTGCACAGATGGCATCAGTCACTGCCCTGACGTATTTGTGGGGGTACACAACTGAGAGATCACACACAGGTCTCCAGCCGTTCCCTGGAAGGGGTGAGTCACAGAGAATTCAGCTGTCACCTTCCAAGCCACTGGAACAGGATGGCTTCCCACTCCAGCATCCGACACAATTCATCCCAGTGTCACAGAATAATATACGAAGTCTGATTTGACACAGCTCCTTAATCCTCCCCAGGAAATAAAGTCAGGCATGGGAATGGCGCTCCTCCTGTGGGCTGGACACATACTGAGGGGCCTTTGTGGCTGTGAGCTCTGTCTGAGCTGGGTGCTCCTGGGCGTCCACAGCCTGCACCTGGACCTGGGTCCTGCTCCCTGCTCCCGAGCCTGTATCCTGGGCCGACCTACGTTACTCCTTCCCATTCCAGAAGGCAGCCACGGTGACGAAGAAGAGCAGGGTCCATCGCTCTGTGCAGAAAAAGGGCCTCAGTTGGGAATAGAAGGAGAGAGAGAGATAGAGATTCCAGACGTGGATAACAGGGAGAATGCCATCCAGCCCACAGCATGTCTGAAGTCACTTGGTGAAGGGACCTCACTGACTGACTCCTCACCCCACACCAGTGCAACATAACCCTCTGAACCTTTCCCCCACACCCCACAAACAGATAACTGCTCACACCACCCACAACACGTCTCTGACGGAGGAACTGAGCCCTCCACCAGATGCCTTAAGCTGTATGGATTGTGGTTCAACTCCCAGCACTGGCCTGCTGGACCGTGACTATTGATAAATTCCACCTTACCACCAATGGCTTGGAGCAAATTGCCTTTAACCAGCATCTGGACCGTACCATGATCGCACTGGACATATTTGGAGTTTGGGTGGGGTTGTGTAAAATGATTGGAAATCCAACAGCAGCTTTCATGGATTTGCCCCACAAATGGCCCAGCGGCCAGACGACATGGATACCATGCTTTCTCCCACTGAAGTGACGCTGAGCCTGCTCATCCTGGACACTGCTCCAGCTGTTTCCCCAGCTCCAATTCACACTCTCAGGAACAACAGGCAATGGCGGCCAACACAGCTCAGTCAGCAATGGCAGCCAACCTGGTCACCAGGGAAACATTTCACGACCCCCTACTGAGCCTCCATGTCCCCTCTTATCCCGACAGCCAATTCCTCCTCCTCGCCCCACCGTGTGCCCTCTGATGCTTTTCCACATTTCCCCCACACACCTTCAGTTTCCACGCACCACCCCCTCCCCACTCCCCACTCCCCTCACTGTCCTTATCCCCCCTGAGTAAGAACAGCAGTGGTGCCAGCTCTGGTTGAATTGCTAACATGCTAATGAGCAGAGCAGGACTGGGATTGCTAAAGTTGAGCAGGACAGGACAGGGCTGGGCTGGTGGGAGCAAACAGGTAGACACAAACTGTGTGAGTAGCTGGGTGGGTGGGGGGCGGTGGGGGGGCGTTGGTGGTGGAATGCTGGGCAACCCAGTGCGTTTCTGAGAAACTGTCTCCCCTGTCTGTGCACACACAGTCTCTCCGTTGCAGCCTTCTCAATGCTAGTTGCTGCTGGGCAGTGCCTCGTCAGTGAGATGCTACCATGGTGTTTCTGGTGCCTGGGGATCATGCTCCGAGTATGTACGCACTGTCCAAGCTGGAGAGGCCTCAGAACAAGCAGCAAGTCATGGCACTGGAGTTTGGTAAAAATATTGAGAAGAATTTTTGTTAAGAATAAGAGGGGAGTTAACGAGGCATCTAACAAACATTAATCCCCGATAACTGGGATCTGCCCAGTGAGAACCTCAATATGCTGCTCATGAAAAGCAGTAAGGATGGAGTGAGATATTCCCTGCCTAATTATGTCACCCATCCCACCACAGCCCAGTTCACTGAGGGCCCTGCCCACTGTCCACATTGTGTCTAAAGATCAAACACTTGTGTTTATACACAACCTGGAAACAAGGCAAAATACCTAATGCCAAATTAAATCATTTTAATGTGTTTTTGTTGGTGTGATGTGGGAAATACAGCAGTTAAATTGTGCACAGAAACCCCTAAAGAAGCAAAATAAATCACTAATTTGTGATTCTTTTCTTGATGGGTAGAAATTATGCATGACATCAGAGAGAGGATTCCAAACTCTCCAGTTCAAATACTGGCCTGGGCAGTAGAAAATGGGCTCATATCATTGAGGAACTAATCAGCAACGTTGAAGTTATTTTACACTTAAAAGATTGGGACCATGTTGACTCAAGAGGTCAGAGCTAGCAATTCTGGGAAAAGGTCTCATAAAACTCCATTTGAGCTTTGTTATTCATATGGCTTACAGAATCAAAGAATAATGGTGAAGGTAAAAGAGTCAGTTAGTCCTGTATTCAAGCAGAAAAAATACTAACATTGACATGTAGAATGGAAGTGAAGCTCTAATTCAGTTTAATTTCACAAAGGAAAAGCCACTATAAAAGATTTACTGTTGTTTACAGTGAGTAGATGTATTTATTACACAGTGGTCCATAGTAGTGGTAGTTTGACATTGGTCAAAGGAGAGGTTGGTGACCTGGTTTGAGGTTCTGTTAGAGAGTCAAGGAGAGAGGGGATCAAGATTTTAAACGCTTTTAATCTTCCAATCCGCAATGATGGATATGGAGTAGGCCATTTAGGTCTGAGATGAGGAGAAATGTCTTCACCCAGAGAGTGGTGAGCCTGTGGCATTCACCGCCACAGAAAACAGCTGAGGCCAAAACATTGAACATTTTCAAGAAGGAATTATATCTTGTTCTTAGGGCTAAAGGGATCAAAGGATACGTAGGAAAAGCAGGAACAGAGTTGGATGATCACCCATGATTATAATGAATGAGTAGCAGGCTCTAAGGGCTGAATGGCCTATTCCTGCTCCCATTTTCTACATTTCTAAGATTCGCTCAGAATCCAGGAATAGGGAGGCTGTTTCTCAAGGAAACAATAGCTCGGGATGGTTTTACAGTACTTTTATTAATTCTCTCAATTATTGTCCAAGAGTAACTGTCCTGGGGAAGGCGGTAGTGAGCTGCTTTCTTGAACTACTGCAGTCCATGTGGAAGCCAATACAGCTGCAGGACACAACAGTGTGCCTGTTGTTGATAGCTGTGCTGTTACAACATTGATAAATACACACACTGGCTCCATTCCTGCATACTGTCACTTGATCACTGAGAAACAAACAGGAAAACAGGGGTTAGTCCAGACGTTGGCAGAATCTGTGCAATGATCTGTCCAGTCAGCGACTAATCAGGAAATAATGCGAAGCCCAATCTCTGCAGGAAGAGCAATGTATACCAGGATACACTGTCAGTGTAGAGCAGGAAATCCCCAGAGCTGCTCTATCCAGACAGCTCCTGTAAACTGTGTGAGATATTTAACAAGCACAGGGACTTTCTTCCTTATCTACAGAATCCCTACAGTGTGGAAACAGCCCATTCAGCCCAACAAGTCCACACTAAGTCTCCAAAGAACATCCACCCAGACTCACCCTCACCAGCATCCCCCCACCCACCACCCACCACCCACCTCGATCCTATCCCTGTAATTCTGTATTTCCTATGGCTAACACACCTAACCAACACATCCTTGAACACTATGGACAATTTAGCATGAACAATCCACTTAACCTGCAAATGTCTGGACTGTGGAAGGAAACCAGAGCACCCGGAGGAAACCCACGCAGACGTGGGGAGAATGTGCAAACTCCATGCAGTCACCCGAAGCTGGAATTGAACCCGGGTCCCTGGTGCTGTGAGGCAGGAGTACTAACCACTGAACCACCATGCCGCTGTTATGTAGCGATTGACAACATGGAGCAACGTTCAACGACTCGACAGAGTCCACTCACCCAGAGAGAGACCAAGGGGGATCTGGACCCAGTAAATCCCACTCACCCAGAGACAGATCAAGGGGAACTGGTTCCAGTAAACATTTGACTTTTTGAAACAGGAAAAAACAAATGAAGGAAGAGAGCAAGGTATTTACCGAGGAAGTTTCTTGTGGGTACTACTTCTTGGATACGAATACTCATAGCCCCGATGGGAATGATGTGGATTTGGTTGTACCCTGTAAATAAGGACAGGATGTTTGATGACAGGTCAAACCTCCAACATTCAGATTCACACTGAAAGCTGATGACAGGAGTAACACAGCTACGTTTAGTTCTGTACCTATAGACAAGTCAGCAGCAGTAAACGTTCCCTTGACTACATAGCAGCTGCTGCCATCTCCCCCGCATTCCAGGCATTTGTCTTCAACTTGTGATGATTCCAGCATATTGTCACAACCAACTGTCTATAAATGAAAGTCAAAGAAAAAGTGAAGTTACTAGATAGCTCAGAGCCATTCATTCTGTGCCAACCCAGAGCTGGTAAGTTTGCAACATTTCGTTTGAGATAATATTAACACAGATTACAAAAGTGTGGGTCAGCCAGTGCCATTCAGCAAAGAAGGCATATCAGAGTTATCAAAGTCTATGCCTATTACAGGCAGGTAAATCGTCCTGGGGCACTGGCTGAGTGAGGACAATCTGCAGATCCTCAGTGTCTGCAAAAATTTGAAACTGAGTGAAGACTGAACTGAGCATTCACTCAGTCCCTCAAACTCTGTCTTCTGTAGCAGGCTTCCTGCCTTGTTCTAATTCAGGCTCCCTGATTCTTTACTGCACAGTTAATATTTTTGTTTGGGATCATTCGTCTTCCCTCTGCTGCTGAATGTTGCTATCCTAGCTAGTGTGCAGATGGAGTTGGATTTCCCACAGACGAGATCGAGTGCACGTGGAATGCCATAAAACCGGTTCTGGGGGGGTGAGGGTGAATTAATCAATGGGCAAAGGTTGGCAGCATTGGCACATACAGACACACAATGTTCAGTTGGTTGCAATAACATCAATTTTGGCAGTGAATTTTATATAAATTCTACAAAACAGAAGGGGGATATAAAGCAAAGGCTGAATAATGAAGCAGCCAGGACATGACCCCCGCACCGCTCCCCCCCATCCCCCCCACCACCGCCCCCTTACTGGCTATGATGTTCAGTGCAGCCTCAGGTGTCGAATATGTTTTTACCACTGGCTCAGCAAGCTGCCCACTCTACTTGTACCACCAAGGCCCCTAAAACATGCCTCAATCCCACTGACTTGACAGGTGAAGGGGTACATTTTGGTGGAGGTTCTCACTCCTGCATTGTCTCCAGGGAAGGAGCGAGTGGGTGTGTTTCTGGGCTATTTTGTGAATAATAGTCACTTCAACAAGGTGTCTGAGAATGCCTGGATCCCAGAGAGAGATGGGAGTTTGGTACAGTTGGTGATAGGGTGGGGCGGGAAATAAATGGTCGGTGGGGGGGTTGTTGCTTCCTCTCACGATTGTTCTGAACAGATTTAGTCCAACCTCTCCGAACGATTTCAGGTATGTATATGGTAGTTCCCACAGGCAGAGCAACCTCGCTCTGTCCACACGGAGTTACACTAGCTTGTAGCTTCGAGCTGTGGGCTAGCAATGAGTGAACGTACCTTGCAGACACCATCAACACAGACATTACGACTTCCTGGTTCACACAGCGTGCCATCTTTGACCGCCTCTTTGTGTCGGTAATAAAAGTTTTCACCCTGGGGGATGCAGTTCAGCTCACACTTATTCGCAGCTGTGGGAAGATGGAGACCTTGCCGTCATCATCACCTCATTACTTCACTCCCCTACTGATCCCTTTGCCCAAAAGGCTGTTTGGCCAATGAAGACTGTCCCTCTACTCACAGCGCTACACCCCTGAGCTGCCCCTTTCAGACAATCCATGAGGCAACTAACCACTGAAGACTTGTTCAGGTTTTTTTACAACCCATAAGGGCTGTTTGCGCCCAGTGCTGGTTTTGATACAAATCCACCCCCACCCCCACCCTCACACCATCCTAATCATTCCCCATTGCATATTGAGCTCATTCCCTTCTGTAAGTTATTCCTGAATCACCCTGTACCATCCTTTCGGACACTGTGTTACAGATCACTGGTTTTAAATCAAAAACCAAAAATCACACGCTTGCCATTATCCCAATTCTCTGAAATCTGTGCCCTTAATAGCACAGAATGCCTAGGAGTTAAAAAAAGGGGGAGTAATCCTCTCCAGAACACTGGCTGGTAAGGATATCAATCAAGTCTGAATCAAATGGCATGTTCAAAGCTTGCTTAAAAGGCAGAAAGACTTGCATTTATGTAACGCCATTCACAGCACATCCCAAGGCCAATGAAGTATAGTCGCCATTGGAATGGGGAAGGGTAGAGCAGCCAATTTGCACACGGCAAGTTCCCACAAACAAGGATGTCAGGATGAGGAAAATCTGACATAAAAGTGATGTTTGTTGATGGGTTAGAAACCCCAGGGCAAACCCTTGCTCTTCAATTATGGACATGGTGTCTATTATACTGTCTGAGAGAGACAGCTTCAGTTCAAACTTCCACATTGGAAAGCAGCCAACGCTTTCAGCTTCTCTAAGATTTCCATCCAGCTTTCTCCCTGTTACAACCAGGATCTCAACAATATACTGAGGACATGGTGAAACTGACTGATGATCGAGAAAGTATGTGGCCAGGGTAAGAGGTGAGGGTCCAGGCAGTGTTTGAGGACCGTTTAAATATTTACTTTACATAGACTTATTTCTTGAGAGCTGTACCTCCGTAATACGGCAGCCATTTGTAGTGCTTCCCCTGGAAGTCTGTTCCATCGAAGGCAGAACACTGCTCCTCCCGGAAATCTCTCGAACCCTCAGGACAATCCTTGGGGAAATATCAAACACCGACAGTGAGGAAGATCGGAGTGAGGTCAGGGAGGGGGGAGATCGGAGTGTCCCCGCTCCCTCCCCACAGTTTCCACTCCCTTCCCCCATTCCTTTTCATCAAACTCTCTCGTCCCCAACTTTCCGTACTCCCTCCCCACACTCTCCTTACTAATCCTGCTTTTCCCTCTCTTCTCTCTACAGCCCCCTTCTCTCTTCTAACCTCACTTTCTGACTCCATCTCCTTGTCTACTCCCCCTTGTGAGTGTGGGCCTTGAGGGGACTGGGAAAGGTCTTGCTCTCAAAGCCACTTGGTGCCTGACTGAGGGACCCAGAATCAGGAAATAAGGGGGACAGGGTGCTTGCTCAGGGCCTCCTCTGTCCATCCTGAAGACCCCTATGCGCCCTGACCCGCCTCTGACGAGGTCCCTCCTCAATCCGAGTGCTAGGGATGGGTGCAGTACCAGTACCAGCCACTGCCTACTCCATGGTGCCAATAAGTAAGGACAAACTGCTGGCATCTGATTGGCCATCCAACCCCAGGGTCCTCGATCATTAGGGGATGGCCCAATGCTGCCTTTCTAATCGTGACCAGGTACTACACAGGCTCTCCAGGGCACTGGCCAAGACCTCCAGAGGTTGCCAGCGATGGTGTCACGAGGAAGAGGCCATTTAGGCCATGAAACTTGTGCTATCTCCCCATTGAGCAGTTTGTCCCTGTATGGTTGAAAGTTTATGAGCTTTGAGCAGCCACACAGCTGCTGATCTCTGTTATGAAAAGGTCATTACCGCTCACTGCAGAGGAACATTCTTCCTCCTAATCCTATGTTTCTGTGTTCCAATCCTTTTCCACACCACCTGCCCAATGGCGGAGGTGATGGCCAAGTGGTATTATCACTGGATTGTTAATCCAGAGACCCAGGTAATGATCTGGGTTCAATTCCCACCATGGCAGACGGTGGAATCTGAATTCAATAAAAATCTGGAATTAGAAGTCTCATGATGACCGTGAGTCCATTGTCAGGAAAATTTAATGTCCTTTAGGGAAGAAAACTGACATCTTTACCTGGTCTGGCCTACATATGATCCAAACCCACAGTAATGTGGTTGACACTTAATGCCCTCTGGGCAATTAGGAATGGACAATAAATGCAGGCCTAGCTGGCGATGCCCTCATCCCAAGAATGAATTAACAAAAAACCCTTAAATCCATGTCCTCTGGGCTTGGTCAAGCTGGTGGGATATTACGAGTGACAGAACAGGAATGTGGTAGGGAAGAGAAGTGAGGAAGGCAACCCCAGAGATTTGGGCTCATTACCTCTACGCCGACTCGAATTTCGCTTTTTAAAACCGACCCAACTGGCACCATCTGCAGATGTATGTCAGCACAGGGCGTGACTGAACACAAACCCCTCTCTAATGCCTCCAGTAGTGAACAGAACGCTTAGAGTCCCCCCTTCTAAATTCCGATAATCCCCCCCTCTTTCTCCCCGCCTTGTTCAGGGGAATATGGCAATGCAGCTCTAAGATTTACCAGAATGTCTATTTACCTTGTTGTACAATAGAAGACACTTGCAGTCTGGTCTCTTGCCTTGTATTTCTTCTCATCCCTAATTGCCCTCCCTTGAGCCATTTTGGAAGATCTTAATTTCGATGTGGGTCTGGAGTCACATGTAGGTGAGACCAGGTAAGGACAGCAAATTCCACGCGCCCACTTTCAAAAAGGGCATTACTGAACCAGATAGGGTTTTTTTACATTAGACAAGCTTTCTATTCTTGATATTTATCAAATCCCAATTTCACCTGGTGGGATTCGAATCCCTGCCATAACATAAACCGGGGTTAGGGATGACTAATCCAGGGCACCACATCCAATTGGCCTCAAAATTGAGAAACAGACAGACTGGAGAGTTTTCCCACTCTGACTCCATTAGGGAGACATTGCTACATTTAACAACAGTATTCCTTACTGACTCTTAGGATCAGCTCAGTCCTTGCACTAACAGGGCTTGGACTGCAGGTATTAACCCCATACCACCCACCCCACCCTGGGGTTACCAAGAAGCACACCCACACACTCTGGACCCCGTTCACACTTGGGAGAGTCACATAGTACCTGAATGTTGCAAGAACGGTAGCTTCGGAAAGGGCCAACACAACTGCTTCCTCCATCCCTCCTGGATCAGAAAAGGACAGGGTCAAAAACAGGTGAGGTTTGAGGTGGAACTGAAATCCAGACAGTCACAGAGTAATACAGCACGAAAACAGACCCTTCGGTCCAACTCATCCAAAAATGTTTCCCCAAACTGAACTAGTCCCATTTGCCTGAATTTGGCCCATATTCCTCTAAACTTTTCTTAGCCATGTCCTAATCCAGATGCCTTTCAAATCTTGTAATTGTACCAGCCTCCACCACTTCCTCTGGCAGCTCGTTCCATACATGCACCTCCGTCTGCATGAAAAAGCTGTCGTTCAGGTCCCTTATAAATCTTTCCCCTTTCAACTTTAACCAGTATCCTCTAGTTTTGGACTTTCCTACCATAGGAAAGAGACCTTGTCTCTTCACCTTATCTATGCCTCTCATGATTTTATAAACCTCTATAAAGGTCACCCTCAGCCTCCGATGTTCCAAGGAAAAATGTCCCAGCCTATTCAGGGTTCCGTCATGGCCTCTCAGCTCCTGACATCATTACAGCCTTAGTTCAAACACCATGCTTGACACCATCCAGGACAAAGCAACCCACTTAGAACATAGAACAGTACAGCACAGTACAGGGAACACCAATATCTGCAAGTTCCCCTCCAAGCCACTCACCATCCCTGACTTGAAAAAACATTGCCGTTCCTTAAGTAACCCTGTGTCAAAATCCTGGAATTTCCTTCCTAAGGGCATTGGGGGTCAACCTACTGCACGTGGACTGCAGTGGTTCAAGAATGCAGCTCACCACCACCTCCTCAAGAGCAACTAGGGATGGGCAATAAATGCTGGGCCCAGACACTGACACCCACATTCCATGAATGAAGTTTAAAAAAAACACACAAGGAGTAGTTGTTGTGAGGGGGTCAACAACGTGAGCAGAAACCACCAATTTAAGGAATAGAAGGATGCGTTGGTAGGGACAAATGAGAGAGTTTGGGAGGAGGCTCATGTGGCTATTAGGAGCTGGAAGGCAGATAATTCCTGCTTTTGTACAAAATACTTTGTAATACTATTTCTAATTCATTTGTCCAATTCTGGCATTATCAAACATGTTCTCACAACCTTGACTGAGACATACATTTACGAAAGCGGCAATTACTCATAGCTCAGCACTTAATGGTTTGGCTACACACAAAGAACTGGACTGTGTGAACATGTCTAACATCAACTACTGCTTCACATTCCTTCAGGAAGAGTTGTCACAGTGATATCAGACATCTCACCATCTAAACTCTATAAATCATCGAGAACCATACCTGCTGTTTTGTAGTTTAAAGCCAGCTCCTATTTGACCAGAGAAAGGGTAGGGCCGATCAAGGATTGTAAAGGGAATTTGTGCACGGAGCCTAAAGAGACAGGAGAGGTCCTTAATGAACACTTTTCTTTGGTATTCACAACTGAGAGGGATCTCGTTGTGGGGGAGGACAGTGTGTAACAGGCTGGTAGGCTAGAGAAGGTCAATGTTAGTAAGGAAGATGTGCTAGGAATTTTGAGGAAGTTGAAGATAGATAAGTCCCCCAGCCTGATGGGATTTATCCAAGGACTCTATGGAAAGCGAGGGAAGAGATCGCAGGGCCTTTGACGATGATCTTTTCGTCCTCACTGTCCACGGTGTAGTGCGGGAAGATTGGAGAGAGACAAACGTCATTCCCTTGTTCAAAAAAGGGAATAGGGATAACCCCGGAAATTACAGGCTAGTTAGTCTTATGTCAGTGGTGGGCAAATTATTGGAAAGGGCTTTAAGAGATAGGATGTATGATCACTTGGAAAGGCACAGTTTGATTCGTGATAGTCAGCATGGATTTGTAAGGGGTAGATCATGCCTCACAAACCTTATTGAATTCTTTGAAGAGGTGACCAAACACGTGGATGAAAGTAGAGCAGTGGATGTGGTATACATGGATTTAAGTAAGGCGTTTGATAAGGTTCCCCATGGTAGGCTCATGCAGAAGGTAAGGAGGCATGGGATAGGGGGAAATGTGGCAGATTGGATTCAAAATTGGCTGACCCTTAGAAAACAAAGGGTGGTAGTGGACGGAAAATATTCAACATGGTGCTCAGTTACGAGTGGTGTACCACAAGGATCTGTCCTGGGTCCCCTTCTATTTGTGATTTTTGTAAATGATTTGGATGAAGGAGTAGAAGGGTGGATTAGCAAGTTCACAGACGATACGAAGGTGAGTCACATTGTGGACAGTGCAGAGATCTGTTCTAGGTTACAAAGGGACATTGATAGGATGCATGGCTGGGCTGAGAAGTGGCAGATGGAGTTTAACCCTGAAAAGCGAGAGATGATTCATTTTGGAAGGACAAACTTGAAAGCAGAATACAGGGTTAACAGAAAGATCCTTGGCAGTGTGGAGGAGTGGAGAGATCTTGGGGTTCATGTTCACGGTTCCCTGAAAGCTGCCACCCAGGTGGATAGAGTTTTTAAGAAGGTGTATGGTGTGTTAACTTTCATTAGAGGGATCAAGTTCAAGAGCCGTGAAGTTATGCTCCAGTTATACAAAAGCCTGGTTCGGCCACATCTGGAGTATTGTGTCCAGTTCTGGTCGTCTCATTACAGGAAGGAAGTGGGGGCGTTGGAAAAGGTGCAGAGGAGATTTACCAGAATGTTGCCTGGAATGGAGGGAAGGTCTTACGAGGAAAGGTTGAGAGAACTAGGGCTTTTCTCTTTAGAACGATGTAGGATGAGAGGTGACTTGATACAGGTGTACAAAATGATCAGAGGTATAGATAGAGTGGACAGCCAGAGACTTTTTCCTAGGGTGGAGGTAGCTATTACGAGGGGGCATAGTTTTAAAGTGAGTGGAGGTAGATACAGGGGAGACGTCAGAGGTAGGTTCTTTACTCAGAGAGTGGTAGGGGCGTGGAATGCATTGCCGGAGAGGGTAGTGGAGCATTAGGGGCATTTAAGCGGCTATTAGATAGGCATATGGATGATAGTATAAGGTAGGGGTGGAGGTTAGATAGACCTTAGGATTAGGAGTTCAGCACAACATCGTGGGCCGAAGGGCTGTACTGTTCTATGTTCTACGTTCTATCCTTCCAGTCCTTTGAATCCAGAAGTTAACCCCTGGAGACTGTAAGAGCTAGCGATTTAAAGGTGCCAACAAATGAAAATTTCAAAATAAATGCTAAATGCTGGAAATCTGAAATAAAAACAGAAGGCGCTGGAAAACTCAGGAAGTCTGGCAAATCTTCTTTTACTTCATTCGAGAGATGTAGGAATGACTGGGCCAGCATGTATTCCCCGTCCCTAACTGCCCCTTGAGAAAGGAGTGGTGAGCTGCCTTATTGAACCGCTGCAGTCCTCATGCTGTAGGTTGACCCACAATGCTGTTATAGGGAGGGAATTCTAGGATTTCGACCCAGTGACAGTGAAGGAACAGCAATATATTTCCAAGTCAGGGTAGTGAGGGGATCTTGAAGATGTTCCCATGTATCTGTTGCCCTTGTCCTTCTAGATGAAAGCAGTCGTCGTTTTGGAAGGTGTTGTCCCTCAATGAAATACTGAGTGGCTTTGAAACAAGGCTTTCCCCATGCTCTTTGGCAACTGCCAGGGCAGCAGAATGAAACCTTCAACTGGCCATCCCTGACCCAATTCAGGGCTTCAGCAGGTGCAGGCATGAGGGGCTGAATGGCCTCAGCTTCACAGTAACAATCCTGCGATTCTGAGAATCAGCAGTTGGGGGGCACTGGATGCCCATCATGGGTACTCCCCTCCCGACCTTAAAGGTGAGAAGACCTTGGATCCCATCCTGGAAAACCCCTGGCCCAAAGAAATGCCTATTCTACTTCTGAACCCAGCTTGGGGAGAGGACTCAGTACACCTCCTGGGTACAGCAGCATTTGACACTGATACTCGTTTGCAAAACCTCTGAGAGTTCAACCAAGCTCTGCAGCGAGATGAAATGCCTTGCAAGGTATACAAGTAAAAATCTTCAGTCCTTCCATCTCATTGGGGCAATGATTCTCATGAGCCACTGATGAAGCAGTTTGAACAGTTTGTAGATTTCAGTGTTACTGGATGGGAGGAACAGGGGTCACATTGAATTCGAGACCATATGGAGACAGTCACAAACTGCTGAACTTCACTGATGATTTAGTAAGTGGTCTATTAGCTATTACAGACAGATGCGAGTGGTTTGAGCACCTTCGGGAATTTGATGTAGACCTGGGTTTTACCAGGAATTGACTATCAATTTTGGCAAAGTTTTCTGTAGGGTATCTCTCCCTGAGCACAAGAGAGTTTTTTCATGCTGTCCTCCCAAACTTGCCTCAGTACCTACACCCCACATTCTTCACATTCTCCCAGTCTCTGCAGGGGGACATACTAGACACTGGGGACCTGCCAGATTTCCTTTTCCCCTTACTGTATTTGAAACCTAGCCTAGCATTCAGTCAAGCACTAGCAATCGGCAGCTGCCCCACACCTTTCCAGTCAATTGCTCCATAATCTGGGACCTGGAAGTCCTGAAGTGATTGGGCAGGTGCATGACCTATGTTCTTGGAACATTGTTTCAAAAGCGGAAGCCCAGAGAAACAAGCAGTGAGCTGCAGTCACTGGGTACCTGCTCTGACTTTCACATGGGGAATTATTACCGCCTGGTTTCCTGCCAAGGGGAGGGAGAATGGTAAACTGCTTAACAGTGAGGTGGAATAGTGAGATGTTAGTGCTTGTTAATGCATGCAAACCAGTCTGTCATCACTCACTTCTTGAGGAATAATGCACTCCAATCCCTAACTAAATCAACCTGCTCAGACACATTATGTCCCACCTGCTGCAGAGGTGTGTCATGAACCCAGGCCTCCTGGCTGAGAGGTAGGGGCACTACCACTGCACCACAAGAGCTCCAGAACCCAGCTCTTTAGTCCATTGAGCATCAGAAACTCTCAGCTCACTCAGAATTGACCCTTACAGGGTCCTGCATGTCCAACACTGACAGACCAGTCAATATTTCTGGTTTAATAACC